GGGCCTTTTTCAAGAAAAATCTCCAGTGCCTCAGACATGGAAAATACTTACTAAATACGTGTCTTGGTGAATTTCTCTATGAAGAGGACCTTTCAAAGGGAAGATGATCTTTTACTAAATATTATAAACATATTCCTTAAAGACTGTTTATACTATCATTTTTTAAATGACAAAAAGGGCCTATTAAATGCTAGCTTTACTCCAACATTTTCTGTATTGTATAAATTTTAAATTAGTTGAGTCTGAGATAAAGAGATTATTATAATTACAGCTGGCTGTAATGAGTATACTAAATTATCCAAACTTCTTTTGACTTAAACCTACTGCTCACAAAAGCAACATACATCCCTATCCATATCTACATATAACACAATTTCAATTCAACAAATAATGATTGGGTCCTTTCAATGTGTTAGTCACTGTGTTTACTGAGGATATATATATATATTAAAAAAAAGATGCCTCCTGTAGTAATTATGCAACAACCTGCTATATTTATGTTCAAAGTTAAAAAAAAATAGAAACTCTGAGGTTCACACAGTTAAGTAACTTGTTTAAGTTCACCAACCAGATAGGGGCCAAAAGCAGATTCAAACTTCGGTGCCCTGACTTCAAATTTAATTCTATTTCCATTGCAGTTCCCTATTTCTCTGCAGTTACCAATATGACGCATATTTCTGAGCTGTTTGGCCACGACCTACAAACAACTTACTGGGAGAGGATTTTTATCTGAAAAACATCAGTTTTGTTCTTAAGTGATTTATTATCTTAGCATCACTAAGCCCTATGCTTTATCTAACAATGAATCTAGACAGAGGGTCTGACATGGAGCTTTATATGGGATGAGTTATTTAATTAATGAAGACAGATGTGAAATTATAAAGCTATACCTGAAGGTAAGATCTAGCAACCACAAGACTTGTGAACAAAAGGCCACCAAGATGCACAGCTTCACACAGCTCATGATTTTCTTTCTTGGAGTAGCAGCAAATCATTTCAGAATCTCATTCAATAAAATAAGGTGTCAAATTATAAGCAAGAAATATAGGAATAGCAGTGAGAAATTAAAAAGGGAAAAGACATGGAATCTGCAAGCATTTTGGATCCGTGTGTGTGTGTGTGTGTGTGTATGTGTAGTCCAAATGCAGTCATTATCTTATATCAATAATAGCAAATGATATTAATTACAAAGACTTCGTTCCTCAAAAGAAGGTCTAAATGCATCATTTCCTTTATTTGTAAAGGTAGCGAAGACATATTTGAGATGGTTTTAAATCAAAATTGGTTAATATTTGTAAAGCATCCTTATGAGTTAACTTCCTTGATGTGTAAAATTCAGATATAAATTATTTTTTCTAAAGCTAGATAGATAAGAAATGTGACTGCTTTATGTTTACTAATTGTTAAAACTTAGGTGTGTAGTTTTCATGTGAATTCAAATGAATATTAGACAAGATTGGCTAAATAAGCTTCAGAGATTTATCAGAGAGCAGGATATCAAGTTGAAATCTTCAAATTCAGATTCATTTGAAACTGAATATTTTTCTGTTAAAAATCAGTTTAAAAAAATCTGGTTTCAAATTTTTATCTTGCCTTTTCCTTGTTCATCATTAAATTATAATATTCTGCAGAACACTGATAATCACATCATGTCTAACGTACCACTAGAGGATTCTGGCTGACTTTCTTAGACCCTCTTAGACCAGATCCAACATCTGGTTGTAGAGCACCATCTAGTGGCTGTAAGAAACATTGGTGCCTGAGAGTTTTAGAAAATGACGGCATATATTTTTGGAAAATAATGAGAATTCTCAACAGCAATACTAAATTCATAAAACTATTTTCTTCTAAAATTTACATTTAGCTCATTTAATAAGCAATAAAAGTCTTAAAATGAGGGAAATTCATCATACATTGTAGTTACGTATGGCACAGATTTAAGTGACTATTAATTCCAATACATATTCACTTAATTTCAATGTATCTTCATTTAAACTCACTGTACACTGCTTCCTGCAGAGGAGACACACAATTTAGACCAGTGAATAGAAATAACGTTACCTGCTGACAGTAGCATGAATGTGATTGCCAAGATATATGTTTTTTCTTCTACTGAACGTGCCTTAAATGATTTACCACAGGCAGGTGTTAGTCAGGCATTTGAAAACATTTGTTCAAATCTTTGTTATCTAAACCACATTCATGAAAATATACTTAATTATTTTCAAAGTGCAAAAGGTACTCTTCAGCATTCCTTTTTTAAATCTAAATTCCTTGTTAATGTGTAGAAAACCTCCTTTTTCACACTTCTCCGCATATGTTTAACTTATTGTATGTATAAGTCCTAAACAGATGACTGATCATGTACTAATATAGCACAAAGGAACAAGTGTTAAAGGTAGAATTAACGTGACTTTCTCAAAGAAAGTGTCTCAGTGCCGCTTGCTCCCCTCCCATCACGTGTGCTGTTCTCATAAGTCATCTGCTATAATCCCAACCTTCACATTCATTATTATGGTTTGTACTGGGTTTTACTTACTCAATATGCCTGGAGCAAAGGTAAGGCTAAGAAGATACTTATTAAAAGCAAAGCAAGCCAACCTGAATCCCTACCAAACTAGTGTTGATTTCATTGTGAACATGAAGTCATGAAATCTTGCACATAATTATGCCTCAGAAACCAGTATGGGCTCACTTTGAACCACAGGCAGCAAATCAAATTTCACCCTTTCTTTTGAAAAACACTGTTATTTGACTGACAGTTTAGGAGACTGGGCCTTGCACAGAGAAAGTATTTCTCTGCTAAGTGGATGGATGGATTTGGTATATCTGGTTTTGGAGCAGGAATTTCACAAGGACTTTTTGATGTAGCTGTGAGATCAAGAAATGTGGACTGGAGGTAGGACCATGAGGTGGGTTCTTAGCTGGAAGTTAATGAATTAAGACCCACGAGGATGGACATCTCCAGGGTCACATCTCAGGGCTTTTTCCTTGAACCTGTTCTACTCAGTACCTGGAAAAATGGAGAAGCTTGAAGGAGAGAGCTAAAAAACTGAAAGGGAGGGGGGCAGGGAGAGGTCCTGCAGTCATTTCAGTCTATTAGACTAACGGGGCCAAGCCAATCAAATGGATAATATTATAATTATTTCCCAGACTTGAAAGGGTATATTCAGCCCTCGTAGTAATGATTCTGTCCTGTATCTCCCAGAAGAGATCATCCAATCTGCGGCAAAACACCTCAGTGAGAGGAAATTCACTGTTCCCAAGGGAGCCATCATGTGACGGACGAGTTCAAGAGCAAATACAACATTGCACAGTTAGGTTTTTTTAAAAAAAACCCATTATAGGTACAGGGGATGGAAAGATCTCGTTCCCAGCAGTTTTTGATTTAGATGACCTCACAGATTCAACCGCTAAAAGACTTAACATTACCTCTGCATCTATTAAGAGACGTCCATTAACAAGAGCTCTTCCCTCAATTTGTGGTGTGAAAACTTAAAAAGACACAGCGATACGTGGGAGTATACCTAGAAAGACGTGGCAGAGAGAACTGAGGCTGTCTGATTTGGAGAAATGGAGATGCTGGTGGCTTGTGGCCGTGTTGCGAGGAGCACCGGGGCCAGGGAGCGAAAATTACTGTATGATGATTGGGGCTCTTCCATTCAACCAGACAGCCCCCGAGAGTCAGACAGCGCCACAGGAGAAAATCCAACACCGTGAGATGAGGCTGTGCCTTCAGAAATTCCACCCAACTTGTCTTGCAGAAGAAAAAGCTCTCAGTCACATGCAGTGTTTAAGGAGAGGTGGGAAAATGAGTGCTGTAGGAAATTATACTTGACCACGAGCCACACCTGTATCAAGGAGATCATGACACCTGCAGCCCCTAGGTGTTACCAGGATCAAATGAAAGAGAAGATATCTTAAATTCGCAGGAAACAGCATAGTAGGGACTTGTCTGTGACAGATGACACCCAAGGGATTCCTCTAATTAGAAAACTCTGTGACTTATAAGGTCCACTTGGATTCTAGGAGTCTATGATTTCATCTTATTAATAAGCCAAGCTAATGAATTCTGCTTCAGCATAAAAGGTTTCTATTGCTTTGAATTATAATGCCTACATCACATCTCCCCCACTTTCATGATATATATTAAAACCTATAAGATGCAATCTTATAATGCCATGACGTTAAATCCTTTAATAGTACCTAATTAAACCTTTCCCCCTCTTTCACTGTTCATCACTTGGATAAATGAAGCAGAGGTGTCTGTGAAAATGAGGCTAATAAGAATTTCCGAAAGTTCAAGGAAAATAGGGCTAACTCAAAATATATGATTCACTGAAGAAAGGTCATTCTTTTTTTTTTTTTAACCAGAAATGCTCCCATAAAAAGTCAGTAATATGGCCTGATCATCCTTGTTACTAAGATTTGTGTTCACTATCTACTGACAGGATGAAACATGCTTATTCAACTTTCATGTCTTTTATATTTATCCTTTGCCTTAATAAGGAAATTGATTCAAAAACAGAGCCTAGGAAATCAATGAAAAACTTCCCTGGGGAGGCTCAGAACCAATAGAAAGGGAAGAATCTGGGATTAAGTGGAAATGGGAGAAAGACTGGGAGCAGAGAGGAAAGATGGAAGATGCAGTTTGCACACTATGTTGAATTACCTGAGAAATATTAAAAAAAATACCATGTTAGATGAGCAAAAGCGAACTCCAGACTCTATGATGCTTGTCTGACTTTGGGCAAGCATCCTGCACCATAATTTCATCACACACAAGATGCCCCATCTCAGTGTTTGGAGTTGTGAAAGTCTCTGTAAAGCAGCTTTCAAATAATCTGTAACAAGGCTAAATCAACAGCAAAGAATGCTGACTTAAATGACTTTGCTACCTCGCTGGGAAACAGTTTATGCAGTGTGGTTATTTTAATGTATTTGAGATGGGAGTCCTATTTATGCAGCCCCATGGGAGTCTGAGACTTGAACCTCCCAGTTTGAGGCGGGTGCTGGTGGCTGTCTCCTGTTGAGGGCAGTCACTGGACTGGGCTGGTTGGATGCAAGATACGTTGCTACCAGGAATGTGTGTGACTGGATTTCTCTCTTCTCTCTGCTTCTTTGGAGGTTCCCACATTCCAGCCACCAGTCACTTTTCCTAGAAAAGGTCCTGTAATTGGGGGGTTCTCCTTCCACCTTTGATCTCTTCCCAGAGCCTCCCACTGGTGGTACCCAACAGAGTCCAGAAGCCAAAGAAGCCAGGGGATGCCAGGTGGGGGACACATAAGGTAGTAGATGGATCGGGTGAGTAGGGAGCTAAGTGAAGAGTTGCCAGGCTCTTTCCTGGGTGGGTGGATGGGTGGGTGAACAGGTGAGTGGATAGGTAGGTGGGTGGGTGGATGGGTAGACTGGGGGTGGCGACAAAGTCAGTGAATCACTTGTCTCAATTTCCTCCTCTGTGAACTGTGATGATTGAAAATCCTCTCCATATACAAAACAATACCAGTGAAAATCAGGAGTGAGGTAGAAATATTAAACTCCCTGCAGTGCTATGTGTATGTCAATCTTATTTTATATTTTGGTTTATTTGGGGGACAAGATCGAGAAGAAAAAAATATGATCTTAGTGGTGATAAACAAAGCCAACTTTAAGGGAATGATTCTGTTCAAGCTTGTTTGATGTGCACTTAGACATTTAAAAACCTGACAAACTAGACAATGATGATGTTCCAGTGCTGCTCATGGAAAAGACTAGACGACTGTGTTCACACCATTATCATAAAAGTCCTTAAGACACAGAAGACAGACTTCTCTGATTGCTGAACTTCACTGAGATGCACGCCTTTTTCAACTGAAAGAGGGAATGCACTTCATTCATAACTAAACTCAAAACTAAACTAAACTGATCAGGAACTGAACTCAAGAGGCACGTTTGATGGGTGAGCACAAAACATTCCAGCACTCTCATGGCTCCAAGGTGAGCAAAAGCAAACTTCAGACCCTATGATGCTTGTCTGACTTCGGGCAAGCATCCTGTACCATGACTTCATCATATACAACAAAATGCCCCACCACAACTGTTTCTGCTTCCAGCAGGTGGCCCTTTCTGGACCCTCACCGACCGTCAGGTGAGAAGCCCTGCAGAGCTGTACCTGTATGCGTCCTTCGATGAGCCTTCAGGTGAGAACTTTTTGTGTACACTTTGTTACATCCCTCAAAATCACATCTGTGGATCCGCCGTTTTCTGGAGTCGGGGGATTCAGATCGTCTCTGGCGTCTTGTGCTCTCAATACTAAATGGTGAAATTGAACTGGAAAAAGAAAAAGTAGATGGAATTGGTGAGAAACACAGCCCTCTATTGTGGTTCTGGTGGCATGAGATCTGAGCCTCAGACTTGGTGGCCTCATATAGACGCAAGGCCCCAGGTCCACATTTCCCGCTGTCACTTTCTGGGACACATTTGAATTCTTAATCTCAAAGACAGGTAGCTTGACCTATTTTTGAGGAAACACTCCTAGGGAGAATAAGACATGCTTAAAACAACAACAACATGACAAAAACAAAAAACTAAATGAGAGCAGTTTTTGGTGCTTTCACATTGGACAATGGTAAGTAGATCTCTATCGTCCAAAGAGACAATCTAGTGGCGTTAAAATTATCCCTCAAAGTTTTGAACTTCTGAATACACTTAAAGAGAACATTTTAGGAAGACCTGTTATAGACAGATGACAAAACGAATGCACTTAATAAGTAACATGAGGGTCTGAATTGCATGTGACGACATATAAAATCGTACAACATACATTTCAAAACAAGCGAGGTCGGGCTGAAAGAAATGACATCAGTACATCAATAATATGACTCATGACAAGCTATTTCTGTTCCATAAAATGCACCTGACATTTAATTTTTCCAGTTGGTGGTTTTTCACGCTGAGGAATAAAGTGCATTGTATTTAAAGATTAGCTGTTCCACATTATGAAAAAAAAGTTTTAACTGTGAAATTTGGCCCTGACTTGTACATTGTTTAATCTTAACGCCACAGCAGAAAAACAGGATTAGTTTGTAATGTCAGGTAACTGATTAACATGTACTTCTTCAAATCTTAATCTCTTTTGATTGAGAAATGAAGAACATGACTCACCTTTTTTAGTTATTCATGAAGTTCTTTACAATTACAGTAAAATATAATCAAAAGCAATCACTCAAATTTCTACTATAAAAAACAACTGCTGTTAGTATTTTGACATATTTTCCTCCAGCTTTTCCATGTTTTGATGCTTTTCAAAATTACTTTTTTACATTTTGGGGGGGGTAGTTAGGTTTATTTACTTATTAATTTTTAATGGAGGTACTGGGGATTGAACCCAGGACCTTGTGAATGCTAGGCATGCACTCTACCACCGAGCTATATCCTCCCCCTAAAATTACTTTTGATTAATAAATCACTCATTAAAAAAACTGACCACCACAGATAAAGATGAAACCCGTCCCACCTTGTCTTCCATCATTATCTTGATCTCGTCTCCTCCTCCCAGGGAAAAGCTCTATCACCAGTTTTCTTTAAAGTCTTCCAATTCTTTTAAATTATGCTCGCCTGTGTGTATCTGCATTCCTGGAAACTCATTCTATTGCTCTGTGATTTTTAAGAGACATATACATAATAAGCTGTTCATACCATCCCCCAACTTGTTCTACACTTGACTTTTGTTCACTCAAAATTAAGGATCTGAGATCTGGCCATGTTGATACAAACATGGTAGTTTATTTATCTGAAGTGCCATATATCACAATTCATTGATTCTAAGATGAATTTTTTCACATTCCAATGTCTCTAAAATCAGGATGCTTCTGACATTTGATGGCTTGTCATGGTTCAATTGACGTAAGTTTTTTCTTTCTTAGTGGTACATTAAGTAATGGTGTATTTTACAATAAGTGGTGTTTTAGCATAGATCAGGAGTTGGTAAACTTTTTCTGTAAAGGCCTAGATGGTGAATATTTTACTTTGACTGAGAGTCAGATGGCCTATGTTATAACAAATCAACCCTGTAATTGCAGCATGAAAGTAGCTATAGATAAACACATAAACAAACGAATATGACTATATTCCAACAAAACTTTATTTACAAAACAAACAGTGGGCTGTATTTGATCCGTGGGCTGTTGTTGGTGGATACTTGACTCAGACGAGATATGGGAATATTCTCATGAATATTCATCCCAGAGTTTTAAAATCCATTTCTTATGTGATGGACATATAGATTGTTTTTAAGATTTCACTATAACATTACTCCAGTGAATTTCTTTGAATGTCTCCTTCCACATACATGCCTTTTAAGTTTCCATGTATCTTTCCACTTGTACAAATAACAGAGTCAGTAGCCAAAGGTCTAGATGATTAGATAAGCTCAAATATAAATGATGTTTATCTATTTGTGTCAAACACTTTTATGCAAGATCTCTCTTAGTTGAACGAAAGACCATATGGGATGGCTGAATGACTTTTTCAGCCTTCTTATCACTCAGTGCGGATTTGTGGTTTCCCACATACCTGACTCAGATGCAGGGATTGGAGCCTATTGTGAAAAGAATCAAAATAGTGTGACTGGCCTGCCCCGTGGAAGAACAGCTTTAGAAAGAGCACTCCTGATGAGGCATGTTCTGGCTTAGGGTATGACTCTTGTGAACAAGTGAGCCTGTACATGTGATGACAGTGCAATGCTAATTCCTTTCCTGACTATCTAGTCATGAAAATCAACATAGATCTTTTCACTGGGGACCTCAGAAATAGAGACTTTCACGTTGTGATCTGCTTGACACCTTTTAAATCGAGAAAATGACATGGTATTGCTTTCCTTCAAATTATAACTTAAGTCTATAATAAGAGCACTATGTTTTGTACAATCCTTTCTACACATTAATAGGTAGAAGTCTGAGTGTAACATGCAAAATCACACACACACATATTGTTTTGTCTGTAATTGATTTTAGCTACTTATCCTGTCATGTATTCACATATGCTGAGAAAAGTGAAAAATACATCTGAAATCAAACCCCATTAACTACTAAGCAGGTCTTTAAGGGACCATTGAAGTAATGATGCTATACAGTCCATCAACCACTGAACTACATGGCAGGCAGGGAAGGCAGAGCAAAGGCTACAGAATGGCATGAAATTGCTTCACTCGGATTTCTGAATTCACATCAAAGTCAAGACCTGTTAGGTAGACGGCCTTAATGTTCTACAAAACTTCATACCCTGGTTTTCCTAATTTTAAAGTGAAACGTTTTAGGACGTTATGAATAACAACCACCTAAAGGTATGTGTAGTAATAATAATAGCAGTAATAATAATAATAATAATTTTTAAAGGTATGTTCAATGATAGCTGGACCCAGCAAAGCTAGCTTTAAAATGACATTCAATGAGTAAAATTTCTCACTGGTTTCCCCTTTTTAAATGGCAGAGACCTCCTCAGAAGATGTCAAAGAACCTTAGGTTAGGCTGTACCTCTCAGAACTAGTATTTGATCTCTTTGTGCAAAGGCAGGAAGGTAAGTAGAGCTGAAGTTAAAAAGAGTCAAAAATGCAGAAGAGCTTAAAGAACACAGGAAGAGGTGAGGATAATCCAGCTCCATGGCGGGGCTGCTATGTACAGGAGCCCACAGCATATGGCCCTACAGTTGGTGAGTACTGGAGGTGGAAGACAGCCATGGGTTGGGGGTTTGGCCACGCCAAGTCCGTGGCAGGAAATCTGACAGTCCAGGTGCTGGTAACAAGTACTTTTGTGTCTCTGGAGCCCAGAACTTGTGGGCGTTCAAGAAACATCTGCTAAACAGAATGAATGAATAGATGGATGGATGAATGGATGAGTGTATTAAGTCAGGTATTCCTAATTTTAGTTTAATATTATTGACTCATTAATTCATCCATAATTGGTTAATTAATTGTTACTAGGATTCTCTGATTGTAAGTCTTCTGATAATGGTCACTTGGGTCCTCAGTCTTACACTCATTTCCGTTACTTTCATGTTTTAAATGCTGTAATATACAAAGTGGCTACTGAATATCAGGGCTCCCGGGTAACCACACGTACATAAGTGTCTTGGTTCTCTGCTCTAAATTCAAGAAAAGGGCATTCTAAAACATGGCTTAAAATTAAACTAGATGGTGGTGAATGAAATAAAAATCTTCCCTTTGATCCCTGGTGAGCATCTAGGTAAGCAGGAAAGGGTGAAGGAATGATTCGAACTCTTGGCAATACCGTCCTGTCCTGTCTCACTCTGGGGCTCACAAGCATGGTGTTTGGTAACAGAACAGCTCTAATTACACGTTGGGTGTTTCTATTCCGTCCTTTCTATGCCTTCTGAGCAATAAGCTCTTTGTTTTGAAGGCACTTAAGGTATCTACAAATGCACGCAAACTGACTTCTGCACTTCAAAGAATGGAAATGCGCAAGTGACTGCTGCAGACGCCAGCGTCGGATTCTTCCAATAATCCTTAGTAATGAGCTTGGTATGATGAAAATGGTAGCGCAAAACAGTTGCTAGTGTGTTCCCTGACACTGTACTAAACACATCTGTGCAGTTCAAAAGAACAATTAAGTAAAGGCCCACTCCCTTCCCCGGAAGGTAAGATCATTTAGAGAAATGAGTGAACACCTGAGGGGGCCTCACGGGCACTGCGTTGTAATGATTAGATGCAGAGAGAACAAATGAGTGAATCATGGCTTCCGTTGCACAACAGTCCCACTTGGAATGGCAAGTTAAATTAGAATTAAACCCAGAGAGGCTCGAAAAGTCACATCCAGGAACAGCTCTATTTAAAAAGAAGGCACTCCATGGCTGCCATGAAAGAAATTAAGGTTAACTGTAATCAGCAGGTAATAAAAGACCATTTGTCACGTGTGACCTTAGTGTGATGAGACGCCCTTCGCTGAAACTGGAGTTTCTATAGGAATTCCTTTTTTTTTTAAAGCCAGGATGTTCTTTTAAGGCTGGGAAGAGGACACCCACATATCCTAAATTTTAGAACAAGAGCAGAAAACAGAGGAATAGAAGGTGTGTTAGCCAATTCGCACAATCTCAACACAACTCCAAGGAGCAAGGTGGAGGGTAACAACGACAGGAGACATTTACAGAATGCTAAAGGCACTGCTCTAAATGCTTTAAGTTTCAAAGCAACTCTCTGAGGTCAATATTATTCCAATTCCTAGTTCACAGATGAGGAAACTGAGGCAAAGAGAGGTGAAGACCAAGGCCAAAACAAAGTGGGTGGCCATACCATGATCTGAACCCAAGTGGTTGACTTCAGAACCCAGTCTTAATTATTATGCTGTATTGACTCAGATATATGGGAACATAAACCAGCATGTAATAAAATATGAAAAAGCAACAAAATACCCTGTATCATTTAAATTTTCCCTCTAACCCTACGATAGAAAACACCACCACATAAAAGTAGTCTTAAACGTAGCCATTCTTAAATGATAAGGCATATACTTTTAAGAATTTTACTGTAAACTGTTTTGTAAATACTGCCAGTAGAGGTACTCAGTGTAATGACTTACTATTAATCTCCCTAAGAAAATACTTTCTCAAGGTTGCCGTAAAATATATATTTGTTTTAATGGAAATGTTTTCAGGAGGCTGAGGTTGGCAGTGATCTGCAATTATGTCTTCCTTGACCATCAAGGCCACAGAACTCGTTCCTTCCCTGCCACTTTAGTTTATCTACAATTTTACCAAAAAGCATTTAGAGTTGGCTGCACGACAGAATTACCCAAATGCAAGGGGGGACATTCAGTTTTAAAAGTATATTTTGTACTATTTCCCAAAGTTTATTTTAAAATTACTTCCAATAGGACATTAAATACCACCTACTGGAATTCTGAATTAGCTTCTGCCACAGAATAGACGGAAGTTAGAACAACTTCCTCGTTAGTAAATCAAACACCACACCAGGAATGAAATATTGAGGCCACAAGCCAAGAAAAGAGTTGATGAGAATTTCAGTCAATCAGCAGTTACATAAGTCTGAGTAATCGAGATTCTATTCATGTGGACAAGCCAGACATTTGTAGGTTTTTGCAGGCTTGTTCTTAACCAGCAGATGGCTCTCAGAAGCAGGCATCTTTGTATTTACCTTCCATACTATAACAGACTCTATCTAGCTTCTATCAAACCATGTCAATGCCTTTTCTATGAGATTATTAACTGGGGAAAAGGTGTTATGTAGACATATTCACCATCCAGTCCCCAGAAGCTACATTCCAAGTTAGCACAGATCCATTGATCTGAACTTCCCCTTTCACTCCTGCCCATAGTTCCTGCAGAAAATTACTTCTGAGCAGATTGAAACTGTAAGATAAGTAGTTGACAATCTTTCCAGAAGCTGTGACTAAAACATTATACCACTTCACGTTCAAATTTGGGTCCAATAAAAATTAAAAATAAAGTCGTTTTCACAAATGTGTAAGTTAAAAGCAATACATTTGCTGAAATATGTCAAAAAGCTCAATCTTTTTTGGCATATATTCAACTAGGAATTTGACACTTTTATCACGCAAGCAGATATGTCCAAAATATATTTCTAATTATTGCTTTATTTTAATAAATTAAATCTTCTACTAATTAAAAAATGAGGAGTTTATGAATGAATCTTTTTTTAGTTGGGTCTGTGGATAGATTCATAGTATATCATGATTTTCCTCAAAAGTGACAGCTGCTACCAAGTATCTTTCATCACTATCCAGGACCATTAAAATACTTAAAACTGGTGCAGGCTCATCTTTCTGCTTTTTTTTTTTTGATTCATCAAATTTTAGCAAGTAATATCAGAGTCTGTTTAAGTAAAAGGTAAAATGGATTAACAGAAAAAAATGAATCATTAATGACATTTGCTGTGATTGGTTATATTATTAAACTTTTATGATGAATTTAGATTACAGGTTGAGAGAAGACTGTTTGCTAACAAGGAAAATCCATCTTGAAAATACAGTATCTCCTTAAAATAGTTCCTTTTGGGGGAACATTGTATGTAATATAAAGACTTTTCTCCATAAAATCAATTCATATCACAGGATGGAACAGGAACACTGAAACAACTGTGGATTCCTGGATTACACTGGACAGGGAACAGAAGACACAAAACTTGTTGAAATATTCAGAACATGTCCACAGAATTTCTTCAGAAAACACTGGGGTTTACATTATGTTCATGCCAGGAGTTGTAGCTTGATGGATCATTGAAACCTCAAAAAACAAAAACCAAAAAAATTTCTAGGTCTGGACAGATTAATTATTTTAAATCAGAATGCCTTTAAGGCAGGTGCTGTCCTCCCCAGACCGGCACGAGCCCTAACACCCATGTTGCCTTAGGGCAGCACTACACATTTATCTTACTGGGGTATCCCTTGAATCCATCTGATTTTGAGACCCTCCAGAATCACACTAAGTTAGAAAAATAAGTTCTCCTTATTTCATTAAAGATAAACTTAAAACTATTCAAGAATGAAGATATGGTCATATGTATGTCTCTGTAGAATGCAGCATTATCAAAAGGTGTTGAGAAGAATGACAAGAGAGGAAGGAGCTTGGGGAACACAGTTCACCCCATGAGGACCTTCCCAAGTACATACAGTGGAGTCTCACCACAGCCCTGCTCTAGGGCAGAATTTGAAATGAAGATTAATTTTTCTGTGTCACAAAGATCTTCTTATAGACAGATTCACTGGTAAGGTAGTCACATGGATGTACCCCGGGCAAGTCTAGTATATAATAAGACTCTGTCTTAACTACTGAAACATATGTAAAATGTTTCAAATACACAGTTCTAATGAGGTACTATAATGCAACCATCAATAAACTTTTTAAGTGACCATCAACACAAGCCTCCATCTATTTTATGCTCATCATTAACCAGGTCTATGTTACACTAGAGATTTGTTTTATTAAAGAGCACTGAAATTATATCAGTTAACTATCTGGCAGTTGCACTTACATAAATTTTTGAAACAGGTTTTAATTGCACATACAGGGATATATAAATAATAAGACCAAGTAGAACTCATTAATAATGTCTTACTTGAGTTTTTTTGGCCAAAAGGGCTATCTGGTGTTACAAATAGGCATTCCTCCTATCATAAAACATGTGTGTTATTTGAATTTTGGAGAAAAATATCTCATCTAATGGAAGGACTATTTTATCTTTTTTTTTAACTAAAAACTCAATTCAATCTTCAAATACTCAGACAAATTAGTATTGGAAAAGTCAGAAGGTATATTAAAGTGATCCAAATTCATATCTGAAAGACACTTAGAAGATAAGGAAACCAAGGCTCAGAAAGTTAATTAAACTAATCTACACCAAGCCCACACAGCTAAACAGCAGCAGAGTTGGAACCAGACATCTAGTTTCTTGACCCAAGCTAGGATTTTTTCACTCTGCAATGAAGTTGTAGAAAGACCTGTGTCATAATTTTTGCTTAGTATAAAGGAAAATCTGCTGGGCAACACTGATACTCTTTTTTTTTTTCTTTTTTCATCAGATAGAACTAAAATACCCACCTAATTTACTTCTTTGCTTTGGCTACTAGGAAAGTCAGCCACAATAGCCTAGGATTTGGCATGTTTATTTTCCAGTCTAACTGTACAGCTCCCAACTCCAAAGTATATAGTTTTAATTCTATATAATAATTCTTCAATGTATGTCTCATCAATTTCTTTCTGAACTAGGGTGAAGTGCTAATAATAAATATGGAGAACAAAACAAAAACAAAGAAGTGAAACATGCTGATCTTATCTTAAAAATGGAGAAAAAGATGTGAAATTTGAATCTGTATTTTAATATGCAAACTTCTAAAGTTTTGTGATCAATATGCTCATATTATTACCTTTAAGGAAAAAAGAAAACAAGAATTTTTTTTGCTGTGGTTTCTACAGAAAAGCACTGACTCTAATCTAAAAATCTACATATGAATGATAACTCATAAATTATTAGCTATGGTGTCTTAGACATTTAATCTTTCTGATTTTCACATTCTCGTATTTCAAATGTGGAGTTGTCACCAAGACTAGCCTAGAGTAATGTAAACCAAAGTCAATGTCCAAAAAATCTCCAACACTTCTTAACCTTGGGGGTTCCTTCTTCCTTTTTTGGTTAACCATTTTATTAAGACATAATTCACATACCATAAAATCACCCTAACCAGTGTACAATTCAGTGGCATTCATTACATTCACAATGTTGTACAACCATCACCACTAGCTTGCTTTAAAATATTTTCATCATCGCAAAAGGAAACTCCAGACTCAGTAACAGTCATTCTCCCTTCTTCCACTCCCACCACCAGCTCCTGGCAACTATTAATCTAACTTTCTGTCTTGATGGATTTGGCTATTCTGGATATTTAATAGAAACAGAATCGTACAAATGTGGCTTTTTGTGTCTGGCTTCATTCACTTAAACATAAAGTCTTCAAGGTTTATCCATGTTGTAGCATGCATCAATACTTCATTCCTTTTTTTCCCTTTCAGTTTGAGATACAACTGACATACATCACTGTGTAAATTTAAGGTATATACTATAATCATTTGATTTGCATACATCATGAAATGATTGATACTTCTTCCCTTTTCATAGCAGAATAATATTCCATTGTATAGATACATCATATTTTGTTTATTCATTAGCTGAAGGACATTTGAGTTGCTTCCACTTTTTGATTCTTATGAATAATGCTGCTATAAACATCTGTACAAGTTTGTGTGTAGACATACGTTTTATATTCTCTTGGGTATATACCTAGTGGTGGAATTACTAGATTATATGGTAATTCTATTTAATATTTTTAGGAATTTTCAAACTGTTTTTCAAAGTGGCTACACCACTTTATAATTTCACTGGCACTGTAAACAAAGTTGCAATTTCTTTTGAGGATTAACTTCTTTTGATCTTTACCAACACATTATGTCTGTCTTTTTCATTTTAGCCATCAATGCATGAAAGTGGTACCTCATTATGGTTTTGATTTGTAACTTCCCTAGTGACTAATGAAGTTAAGAAGCTTTTCATACGCTATAGAAAAGCCACTTATATATCTTCTTTGGAGAAATGTCTATTCAAACACTTCATTTATAAACTGTGTTGTCTTTTTACTGTCAAGCTGTAAAATTTCCATATAGTCTGGACACAACATGGATATACAATTTGCCACTCCCAATGTGTGAGTTTTCATCTTCTTGACTGTGTTCTTAAAGCACAAAAGTTTTCTATTTTTTATGTCCCAGCATTATTTGTTAAAAAGATTATTCTTTCTTCATTGAATTGTCTTAGAACCCTTGAGAAAATCAACTGATCATAAATGTAAGGGTTTATTTCTAGACTCACTTCTATTCCACTCATCTATAAATGCACACTGTCTTGACTTTATATCTTTGAGGAGAATTTTGAAGTTAAGAAATGTTCATCCTTCAAAGTTATTGTTTTTTCAAGATTACTTCCATATGAATTTTAGGCTCAGTTTATCAATTTCTGGAAAAGAAAATTCAGTTGGGATTTGGATAGAGATTACACTGAATTTATTTATCATTTTGTGGAATGCTACCGTTTTAAACAACATTAAGTCTTTCGATCTATAAACCCAGAGTATCTTTCCCTTTGAGAGTTCTTAAATCTTTTATATATAATGCTTTATAAAAGTTTTCAGTGTTCAAATCTTGTACTTTCTTGGTTAAATTTATTCCTAGGTATTTTCTTCCTTTTTAAGTTGTTTTAATGGAATTATTTTCTCAATTTCATTTTCAGATAGTTCATCGTTAGTGGATAGAAATACAGTTGATTTTCATATACTGATACTATATCCAGCAACCATGCTGAACTTGCTTATCAGTTCTAAGAGGTTTTTGAAGGGATTCATTTGTGTTTTCTGTATACAAGATCATGTCAATTGCAAACAGATAATTTCACTTCTTCCTTTCCAATCTGGATTTCTTTTCATTTCTTTTTCTTAACTGCCCTGGCTAGAATTTGACTGAAAGTGGTGAGTATGAACATCCTCGTTTTGTTCCTGATTTTAGAAAAAGTATTCAGTCACCCATCAAGTATATTAGATGTGGGTTTTTCATAGATGTTCTTTATCAGTTTGAAGAAATTCTTCTCTATTCCTAGTTTGCTGAGTGCTTTTATCATGAAAAATGCTGAATTTTTTTCAGGTGCCTTTTCTGCATCTATTGAGATAATCATGTGGTCTTGTCTTTTAGTCTATTAATACAATGTATTTAATTGACAGATTTTCATGCGTCAAACCAGCCTCATTGCTGGGTTAAATCCCATTTGCCATGGTATATACTCTTTTTGTAGGTTGCTGGATTCAATTTGCTTGTATTTTGTTGAGGGCTTTTGCGTCTATATTCATAAGGGATATTGTTGTATAGTTTTCTTTTGATGTCTCTGTCTGGTTTTTGGTATCAGGGTACTAATGGTCTCACAGAAACATTCTGAGCTCCTTCTTGACCTTGGGTTCCATGATACCATGTTTACGTCAAGAACCATTCCTTACTACATAACTATTTGCTGACACTTCCATTTTCTTTCCAACCTCAATTTTGCTCTTAGCCTGCTTTTATGGAGCTGATGTTTCTGACATTTCTATGCTCCTGGCCTAGAAGTTCTCACCTAGGACTGCTCATATAGCATTACACTCTTGGTGCTATACTGTCCACCAAATGCATAGCCCTGGCCCATCTTTATTCACCTAAGAAGAGTTTGATAAAATGTTTGCAAGCTTTAAAGCATCATGTAAATATGACCACCTTCCTAGAGGCCACTCTTTTCCATTGTTGGTAAAACACTGTCTATTATTCTCAGAGTATTGTTAGATATTACTGCAGGCTCTCAATGTGTACCGTACTGTTTACAGTAAACTTACTGCGTACTATGAAATATTGCAGGGGGCATAACAGTGGCTTTTTTATCTTCATACATAAGCTGAGAAGATCGTCAAAAAAATTACACAGAGAGTGGCAGGGTAGCTATTATAATTGGCAGTCTTATAGATGAGAAAATAGACGTTCAGAATGGTTAAGTGTCTGGGAAATGATAGACTTAAGACCTCCAGGCTACACTTTTTCCTACATGCTATCATTCCCATAGTAAGAGGGAAAATCTGTCATATATCAAGGTGACAACACTAAGTCTCTTGTACCGTATTTATTGACGATTAAATATCATTTGCACTGTTGGTATATTTTTACTTGGCTTT